CATTATTTGCGAGACTCTAAGCAATCAGCCAAAGAGGTGAATTCAACTGGTTCAGTCTCCAAAGTTGACGACGACGAACGGAGCTCGCGCAGCCATGTTTATAGCTATTTATTAACAATTCCATGCAAGATGCTTACAAACACCAAATTTTCAAAGTTGCAATCATAAAATGTCACTAATTGGCATAGGCAAAACTGTCGAACACAGTAATAAGCACCCCCCCCCCCCCCCAACCCCGAGAACTTGTTACTTCGGAGATTTTTAATGCAGCAATAGTAGAGCAGATGTTGGCAGATAAATGTCGCCAAGAGACCAAGGTCACCACTAACGCACAAAATGACAATCTTAGGATGCGCCACTGGATGAGTTATTCACAAGACTTGTACCACTGGCCATAAAACTAAAGGCGATTAAGTTAACAATGGGCATTTTATAAACATGAGCTAAATGATAATGGTCAAAATGTGCGACTAATTGAGGCATCGGAGCTCCTAAACAAATAAATTCACTTAGCCAAGGTCATTTCATCCCAAATAAGTGTAACCGAGAGTTGTGGCTTGAAAAGTTTACATCAGAATACGTCAGAGTGAATTCTTAAGTAAAGGTGAAATAAGCCTCTATTATAACAATCTATTGGAAACTTTAGGACATATTAAGGCCCTCGTATATAGAGAAGCATCAATTTCCCTGGTTAGGTAATTGTATTGCATATTTTCATCGCTGGATGTGAGCAAATGGGACTCCATTTGATGTTGACATTAAAGGAAAAGTCCAAAACTATTGAAGCAAAGGTTCCGCATAAAAAAACAACGCGAAACGTGTGAAACTTAGTGCACATAATTCATTTTTCTATTTCTCATAGAAAAAAACAATGAAAATTCTCATTTGAGAGCCACAGACAAATTAGGTATATAATCACTATTATAAGATAAAATAATAATACAAAAGCCTAATTTAAATTGTGGGAACCAACTGGCAACCGCGGGCTGTATTCACCCACGGTGAAATCTCCAGCATTACCGCAAAAATAAAAACTTCCTAATGAATGATAAGACAATGGAAAATCGTCAATAAAGAGATCCATTACGTTCAAATCGAATTCACTTAGCTGTATTCGGAGTGGAGAAGACTAGAGCTGTACTTTGTAAAGTAGGACGAGTAAATGATAGCTGCACCCAGTTTATGAAGACTTCCAGATGATCCAAAATTCAGCAACAACTTATAAGCATACATCAAAGAAAACAGAAATTCAAGTGCAAAGACGATTATGCTTCGGCAAAATGCTCAAATCCATAGTCATTGAGCAAAATACAGTTTGTCGAACTATTAAAGAAATTCTTAACGATTTCAGAAAGTGCATTCAAAAGTTGATATTGTACTCAAGGTTAATACATAAAAGTCCATAGCCTATTTCATTGTTCTATAACAAGAAATAAATAATGCTAAAATTATTTGGCTTCAATTCCTTAGTAGTACCTTTTTGATGCGACCTAAATATGCTGCCTAAAAAAATGAAGTAGAAATTTGACAATGTTGGTTTATGAGAGAATATGAGAACGCTGTCAATCAAGTAAGGTATTTTGGAACAAAAATTTATGTCGATTAGGCAAAAAAGTTAAGGTGAATGCAAATACACAAATGATTTGCTATTCCTGTTGTGATGACCAATCGAATTGATTCTTACCGTCAGGACAGATTGTCGGAATGGTAAGTAAGAATGAAAAAGCGTGTATATAATTAATGCAAGAGGAAATAACTATGCTGACTAGGATTCATGATTACATATGCCATTAGAATGCATCTGCCTTTGGCCAATTGGTAGAGGGAATGTGCGAACGCTAGCATTTGCCGAGTTTCGCAATGAAGAAATCGAAGAAAACTCCATTCCATCAAAAGTCCAGGAGCATAGACTGAAGAGAAGTGACAGTAGGCCAAGGATAGATTTAGTAAAATTAAAAAAACCATCTTCGAAATAGAAAAGCTTTAGAAGAGAATAATCTATGAAAGTTAAAAAGGACAAAATTGACTTCTACTATAAAATCTGAAGGTGGAAAATGAGTGATAGCGAAAGCGAAAACAATTTGAACAGCACGGTTCCCTTAATCAAATGTCGATAGCAAAACTGCAGAAAAAGACTAAGGGAGGATTGAAAAGTTAATAAATTTCTAAGGAACCATCATTTATGTCAAATTAATGCAAACGTAAAACAATGAATTGGAAATCGCACTAATCGAATACAATTTCAGAGGGCAATGTAGGCTCCATGCCCGTGTCGACTTTAATAGAAGAAAAAACAAAGTTGTGAAAGTAAAGATACGTTTCGAGTTACGGTAAACAGAGCTTCCTTTTATGCCAAAAGCGTTTCGAGCATTTATAGCTAAAGCGTACGGTCATTAAAGAAAGAGAGAGTCGACATCGAATGACTTCACCGGATGAGTCACACTAGAGTCAGTTTATATGCTGCCGCAAAATAAGTCACGACATACAACAACTGGCCTGGCCAACTGAAAGTAAATAAACCACTAAGAACGCATTGGCATTACGTAGAGGCAGGAGCACTCTACCACAACAAAATTGAACAGCAGCAGAGGCGGGTGAGTACATGAGAACCTCAGTCGATTAACCGAGTTTGTGAAATATGCAACAAATTATAAGAATGTTGATATATTTGCAAGATAAGCACTTTCTAACTAAGTTTGTATAGAGTGAAATAGGTACAACTAACCTAAACCAAGAGGCTTAATTAGAACTAACAACTCGTTATGTATTGAAGGTCCTTTAAAAAAGCACTTAACTTCTAAAATACCTAATCACTAACAGTGTAAAGCTCACATTTCATTACTTCTGCTTGAATCGTAATCGAGTATATTCTATTCTTTATTTAATAAGTGAAGTTCATCATAAGTGAACTCTAGTGGATTCGGGCATATTAAGAATGCCCTTGCAAGTATCGTCCACTTATTCATACCTGCAATGGGACAGAGATGAAGTAAATACTCCATAAGCTCTATATGTTGCAAACATGAATCCACTCAGAAACTCAAACAGCAAATCATGAAAGCCGAGCATTGGAAAGATTAGAAATTACAATGTGAATAATGCCTCTCTATAAGAGAAAATAACTAGGTCCTTGCAGAGTTAATCACAGGTAAGAGTTTTGATATCCTAACTTCATTGACTACTGCAATTTGCTTTCAACTCGGTTGCAACCACATCTGCACTACTCTACCATTTCCCATTAGAACTTATGTGTTTCCTTTTCATTATCATCACTGAGCAAGTACCAGTGCATATCAATAGAACCCTTCTCGATGACTGTTACTCCATCGACACATGAATATCACCCTCTCGAAATGGTCAAAATCCCCGGTAAAAATTTTTCCATTTTTTTTCAAAAAAAGCCTTTCGCCTACTTAGTGCCTTACTGAAATGTGCTTTAGGCTTAGATTTACAGAAGCTAAATCACATATGTTGTTGATTGAAGGTCTCTTTATTTATCCCATTTTCTAGATGCAAAGTCTCTTGATCTTAAAGCCAAGACAGCAGAAGCTCTAGTAAATAAGCTAATCACTAAGGCGTTCACGGATACATTTCCATAGGTACTAAACACACGAGGAAGCTGATTTACACACCAAGTTGCGAGGTAAATGACATCCATTAGCCACACCTAAACGGTGCACGTGTAGCGTACAATCCAATCTTTGTTACATTGGAGTGGAGGATGAAAGAATAGGGGCAAAACAGTGGGCATACTTAATTCATTATTCACAAAGAGACCATAAAAAGTGACTGTCAAGTCGTCCCCAAGGCAAACAAAGAAGTGATCACTTTTTTGTGTGTTTCTTCAAGTCTAAAGTCTCATTCAGCCAAACGATGAATTTTGCAACTGGTAGAGTTCACATCAAAGAACTCTGAAAAGGTGAACAATCGATTACCACACAGTTGAATTCCAGCTTCACTCCGATCCCCATCAATGCTAAATCAACGAAAAATGTTTTCCTTGGTGCGGAATACTATGAGTAAATCTTTACTTCAATTCAATCACTTAAAATCACGTGATCAAGATTCTTGTCATTGAGTTAATATTCGAATATCCATATTAAAATCCTCACTATATACAAAAAACGGAAATTTTTAAACTAATAAGTTAAAAAAGAAACAAACCGTGTAAATTATAATGAAAATGTTTTATAAGCTGTTAGAGGCAATGGTCCTTTACATAGTAAACATGAGAGATCCACTTAACACACTATCACACATGAGAAGGTAATATTTTAGTACAATTCTTTGTTCATTTTTATCTTGAACTTCCCATTTATTCCAGCGATTTTGTCAAAATGATTTGATTAACGAACGCGCCAGTACATTGATCTATCAATAGGAAGCGTGGGTCTTATTTCGGCACTGTGGTAAATAACTGCTCATCCGTTTAAAGAGAGGAATCCTCACAATGTTGTAGGAAAAAATAGTGATTTAATTCGTCATACTTACAAAATTTCACAGAGGCAATTAGAAAACGTTGATAAGTATTTGATGGATGTAATTCGGCAATCGTAGAAGAGAAGAGACACATATTAATCATTAAAAAAAATAAGTCAATAAAGAGGATAACCTCACTTTCTGTTAAAGTAGATTAGGCGACATGAGTTAGCAATGATTTTACGATGATAAGAAACCGCCGAAAGATGGCCTTCCATTTAAGAACTAACAAAGATGTTAACTTTCCCCAAACTGAGAATGAAAATTGCCTATACTTCAATTATTGTACACTGTAAGCCCTAAGTTATTCCCTTACCACCCAAAGGTGAATGAAGACTGCTGCAGATCAGAGAGAGAGAGAGAGAAGAAGTATAAAATTTGCAGTGAAGAAATAGGTATCATTCATCAGTCAAATGAATGGAAAACCAATTAGAATGTTGTTTCCTTCGCTGGTCAAGTAAGGAAATCAGGTGGAAGGAAATATGCTTCCAGGGTTAGCCGAAAACAAAATATTCGCATTACTAGTATTCATTCAAATACACTTTCGCCATATTAGCAACAGAGAGATGTCGAAAATAATAAAGCCCAATTAAGATGAGAAATGTTGATTGATTTACCTCAGAGTCCCAGGAATTTTGAGGAGAAGAGCGCAATTCTAGGGAAGAATCTTCGGGTTTAAGGGGAATCCAATCGGTGAGCATCATCACCTCTCTGTGCTGGGATTTTGTAGTCTCTTCTGGAGCACCCTCAGTGGGTGTTGAATGACCATTTTGCTTCAATTCCTTCAGAAAAGAAAGCAGAAAGAGTTACGAAAAGAAAATATAGAATCACGTTGGGCTTTTAGGGTGTCAAATTATGCGATCAACCAACCAGTTTACGCTTTCACACTCAATCATGGCTCATACTCATCGTAAGTGGAGGCAGATTAGGAAACCCTGCATTAGGAGATATATACGATAGACAGGAAGACGAGGGCCCCCAATAAGTCGTAGTACATTCAAATGAAAGTGTGCAGTGGTAAATAGTTATTACCTTATTATTCACTTTAAAGTCTAGGACAGGTATGCAAATAACAAGTTATTATCATGGGAATGAAAATTATGATTAGAAGTGAAGAAATTGGGGGGAGGCAATCACGAGATTGTCAAATGAGTCAAGATCACATTGCTTATCTCATTTGATAAAGATTTACCCACACGTGAAGAAACGAATGAAAACTAAGCAAAATCCCACACTACGGCGACCAAATGTGGGTCTGGAAAAAGAAACAACAGGTGCTAATTTAAGTACTCTGTTAATAAATATAATGAAAAATGTACTTCAGGATATAGATATATCACTCATTATATATATTCGGCGATCTTATTATCTTAAACACATTTCGTATTCGGTTTTAAACCTTGGGCACGGAGTATGTATAGGAGGGGACGTTTTATTCGTGTACCTTCTTAAATAACTCTACATCTAGGTGCTTTCGACCTTATGATACCACAAGGAGGGTGGTACCTTTCTGACAGGGATGGTTGAATTGGTGAGCGTCCCGGATTTTTAGATCAATATTTACAAATCTAGACAAGCAGGATTGTGTTTTTTTTCTCATTGAAAAACTGGTGGCAAAAGCTTCGAGTAGTGAAGAATAGGGAATGACACGCCGATTTACTACTTGCATTGACAGATCTAAATTTTTCATAGTGATGAAATGTTGCAGATATGGCGATTATAAAGTTCAAAGAAAATGCATCCAGGATGTGCATTCATCCAGAAGTGGCTAAAAAAGAACACCCCTGAATATAGTTGAAACCTTCAGAAAAAAGGTGGCACTTCCTTCTGAACCACCAGCTTTAACCCCAAACGAGGGCATTGTACTATGTCGATAGTGCGAAAATCATCGAAATATTTCCAAATGAAACTCAAAGGACGCAATTAAAGGTCTTCCAAAGTCAATCTTCGAGCACACAAAATTTATGAACAACTCCTTCCTCAGAATTTGTTACTAGGAGTTGAGTACAATAAAACCGTGAGGCGAGGACTTCTGGAAAATTTTAAACTAACGCAAAAAATATAACTAGGAGCTAGATTTGGAGGCAAATGGTTTAAGTTAGACGAATAACACAGAAAACGTCTTGGTAATATCCGAAAAGGCAAGACGGTGAATCACCTAGAGTTTTCCAATAAGGGAGTTCACGAATGCTACAAGAGATGTAAAAATTCAAATGATAATAGAGTAAAAAAGCGAGGTTATAATCAGAGAACATCTTGATAAATTAGTGAAAACGGAAGCAGACGATAATCCAGAGCTAAGAAAAGCAGAATAGTTTCAACCCTATTGAAGAAAAGCTTAAAATACTCTGAAAACCGAAGAATATGTTGTAAGTATTTCCAAGGTCGAATCTCTTGATGTACAGCTAGTAAGATTGCATACATTTGTCCAGCATTATTTCTTAAAGAAATAAAATGAACGAGTTAACTCACATCGAAATCTAAGACCATTTTCTCCAACTCGTGCATTCGACCGACAAGAAGACGAAGGCAAGTCACTAAATCGTCTTTTTTCTCCGATTTACTGCGACACAGTTCGTGAAGAACGTTGCGACCATCCTGAAAAGATAAATTGGAGTTATGGACGTTTTTTTCGATGTACAAAAGTGAAAACAGGGAAGCGATTGAGGATGGATTCGGAATAAATGAAAATAAGTACAGTGTGAAAAATAAATTAATTTCTTGCAAGTAATCCATAAAAATTAAGATAAATAAAGAACCGGCAGAAACCACGAAACAAAAATTAAATTAGTTTTTTTCGATTTTCCCATAAAGCATAAAAATGACAAGGCATTGAGGATGAGAAAGTATTATAGCCAATTTCGAAAGTAGCCATGTGGAAAAAATGTAGTTAAAAAAGCAAAAGAAGTGATAAGTTAACAGGAATGTTTCATTAAATCACGAAATGAGGGTATTCTTTGAAATGAAAGCCGTCTTTAAGTAGCATCAAAACAAACGCTACAGCGTATTATAACCCAAAACCAGCAGAATGGCTGAAAACAAACCAGTAACCAAAGATATAAACACCATATGAGAAAAGTGAGATAATAAAATAATTGACAACTAAGGACAAATAAAATCGACGTCTAAAGAATAATTTAGAAAATGTAATCAAGGGATGAAACAAAGAGATCTATGCAACAAGATTTGGTGAGTTTAGATTACGCAAATTATAAACATTTAATTCATTTTAATACCTTATTTTTCCAAAAAGGATCAGCACCTTTTTCGAGAAGAAGCTTAACTACTTCTGGTTGATTCCAGTAGCACGCGTTAGTAAGTGGTGTCCAAAATTGGTTATTAGATACATTGACAGACGCACCAGCATCTAAAAGGATCTTAACACACTCAAGATGACCAGACATTGAGGCATGATGCAGAGCTGTGTTTCCATTCTATCAGAAACAAATTAAAGAAACGTAATAGCCTACAATATCCCTAGCATCAACAGCGCATTGTGCCTGAATTAATAACCGAACGATTTCTGGTTTGCCCTGAGAAGCCGCGTGTAATGGGCAACAGTCATGCTAAAATATGATTAAACAGAAAATTTTGCTCATACGATATTTGATTTCCAGTTGACATCAATTCCTTCTGATATCATTTCTTTAACCAACCATTCACGGCCATAGCTGCAGGCGTCGAAAAATTTTTCCTGACGAGACTGATCCTGACCCATTTCATAAAAATGACAATTAACGAAAGCAGGCACAACTGCACAAGCCGCGCCTTTAGCTGACGGCTGATTTGCCGATCAAGGTCAAATTAAATGAAATTACCTAATAGCACAGATATTTTGAAAATGCCATAGAAACGCCATATATACGCTTCCCATAAATTTTACTAAAATTTAGTAAATTGACGTATCCTTGAATTTGCTTGATATCTTTTAAATAATAAATCTTTGATTTTCCACGGAACTGGTATTCCTTTCGTTTATCCATTGAAAATAATTTTATAATCTATTTTGCTTCACAAAAAACAAAAATGAAGAATTTGAATATGCGCTGTACCTATAAATAATTCGTTTTCTTTGCCATATCAACTGTCTCCATATAAACATAAAATTATATATTTATTCCAATCAAATTATCTAATTTTCAGACATATTAAGTCACTTGATTTGTAGGAAATTCTTTGAATTCGATTCATAATATGGCAGAAGTATAAAATTTCCCACAGACGTTCTATTAATCAAAAAGATTTGACAGGTCATCTTCCTAATTATTTAATTATTACACGTTCAAATCAATTGAACCTTACTGACCAAACACCATACAGTGGACCCCCTACAATAATAAACACGATATTGCTGGTGCTGGTTAACTAATTTCGAACCCAATTTCATGCTAGGGGATCTTCACCTAGTCAATATCGCTTTGGTTTAGCCAAGGCAAATTCGTGAGCAGCAATTATAGAACCAGTTTCGGTTAAAGGGAAAAGGAGTCAAAGTGAAGTATGCCAATAGTTAGCAAGACCACCTTACATCTGAGCGAACAAGATGATTCATATGGTGGAAACAGTGATTATTAGTGTCTCCACTACAATACTCTAATCTTTGCAGCCACCACATACTGCATATTTAGTGGCTCCTGCAAAGATTTTTCCACATTGTAGGTAGTTATGCCTTCTCGCTGCCTGCAAAGTTTGCTGAAAAGTTCTACATTCCCCTCCGGACTACGAGGTTCATGGAGCTTGGAGTATTTTCTTCTTTAACACTGAACTCAAAATGATGGTTACAGGCTGTCATTATTTATCGATTCTCTCAGAACCAGCGAGTTTATTCGTGTGCTATTTGGAAAACCATAAAAGTCCTTCAAAGAAGAAGGATTGGATTTTCGATGAAACTATGACTTATGACATTTCAGCTCCTTGCTTTTCATAAAACCCAAAGCGTTCATTAATTGGTCAACTGGATTTCAAATAGTCTTCATGTGTCTGGAAAAGTGATTTCTATTACAATTCTAAAGTATGGTCATCTCACAATTCATCAATTATTATTTAATTTTAATCAGCCGCTAATGCTTTTTCTAATAATATTAAAAACGTGGGCCTTTCATTTCAATTGGGTGTTTCCAGACAGGGTCATCAGTTGACCTCGGACCTTACATTATGATGCGTCTTTACCCAGGATAACTGTCGTGGCAATCAGACTCTGGTGCACGTGGACACATGCAACAATACAACATCTCTATAAGTGTACTCAAGTCAATCCACCCTCACAGATTCCAATGTAGTGTACACTTCTTCCTGATAATTAGGGAGAGGATAAAGGGAAGAACACTTCAATTGCTCTCAAATATGCATATTTTCGAGATTTTAATTAGTTTACCACTGTTGGTGTTTTTTGATACAGAGTAAAGAAATAAAGAGCAGTTTAGTCAGACCTATTGTTGTGTAGCCGATGTCTATACGAATAAGCCTAGACTGAACCCCACCCATCTCCATGCCAAGGTTCCATAGTATGGAATGGCTCCCGAAATCGGCCAAGTTCGCCCATCCATATGGAGGCGATGGGACACATCTTGTGGAAAGCCTATATTGTGACAGTGTCACCAGCACAGCGATTAGGCTTCAACTACAGGTTTGACAACGTTGATCACGTCGTTACCACCGTGTGACTACTGTTTATTAAATAGGCTGAGGCATCAGTGATCGCGATCCAACATGCTCTCTTGCACTAACAATGGCATGCCAACCATTCCATAATGTTCGAGTTCACTTGAGAGTTCTTGATTCAGCAGCCAACTCAGTTCTGTGCACTCCACAATCAACGCTGTTTCACTGGGCAATCAGAGGCAGGGGGAGAGGTCGAGTGGTGGGATTTGATGTAGAGAGAAAGTGAAGTAAGAGGAAGGTCCAGTGGGTGATTATTCGTGGTCCTCATATTAATCAAATACAGGAAATAAATTCACTTTTCAATTGTTCTTTATGATTAACATG